ATATGCCCCGTTATCCTTGATGCTCACCTGTTGTCGGGTAGAACTTCCATTGGGCAAATGACTTTGGTTCCTACACTCCGAACACAAAACCTCACAAGTAAAATGAGTACATGAGGAAGAAGTTTTGTTACCTCGTGTGTGGACTTCTCTTGTATATAAGATAGTCTCGTCCTGTCGAGCATCAAGATTTTGCGCCTTGATTGGGTCTCCGGTATCGGAAATGTTTTCGTGTATAGGCGTTGGCGTTGGCGTTCGTTGGCACCCATTCTTTGACGGCTTCTTATTCAGTTGTCGCTCTACTTGAATTGCCGTATGCACAAGATGTCTCAAGTCACGGTATACGTGTGGGTTTACCTTTCTAGCGATTTGTTTTTGTAAGCCTCCTAGGAAGTGCGCAATGAGACTTTTTTCATCGATGTTGGGGTACACACCTTTTCCGCATGAGGATTTTCATCTCTTTCCAAGTGGAAATCGGATCATAATGTGCTCGTCGGTGTTCGATCTCCTTTTGTTCCCACCACATGAGAGCATTCTTCGCAAGATGGGCAGCTGCGTATTGGATCTTTCTTTGGTTCGACCAGGAGTAACACTCAAAGATGTCATTCATTTGCCGCTCCCACTCGAGGTAAACTTCTGGGTTTTCTTCTCCCGTAAACAAGGACGACTTAGATTTCCGACCAGCCCTTAGTTCATGATACGGGCGGTTGTTTGAGGCCCTCGCAGATTCTATGGGTCGGGTCTCTTGCTCAAGTCGTGTGAGGCGATCTTGAATCTGTTGTAACATTTGAAGCATAGCGCTTTCACTAGATTCTATATTCGCTCTCTCACGGGACTGTTCGTGGTTACTCATGTCGCTAAACCTCGCAACACACAATCACGGAGCAACCAACGTGCAAGACAAATACACAGGTACTCGACCTAACACCTAACGAACACGGATACGTGCGATCGAAGCGAAACAATGAACGAGGGATAACAATCAACGATTCTTGCACAAAACACGCGTTAAAACAGATTTCACGAATGTGCAGATTTCAACGAGTATGTCAATCAACAACAGGTACTCGACCTAACACCTAACGAACACGGATACGTGCGATCGAAGCGAAACAATGAACGAGGGATAACAATCAACGATTCTTGCACAAAACACGCGTTAAAACAGATTTCACGAATGTGCAGATTTCAACGAGTATGTCAATCAACATGCAAAACAAAGGCAGCAAGCAACGTGGTATGATCCAACAAATGTCCTAATGTGCAAGTTGAGCTACAGATTGAGGTTATCACAAACAGATTTGTACCCGAAAACATAGCAGCGTATGAATAGCAAGTAAGGTGCAATCTCGTGCTAACGATGAGCGAGATTTACACAGATTTCTCAACAATGATGCAGATAACACTCAACAAATCACGAATAGAGCTTGATCAAAACTCGTCCAATCATTTCTCGAACAGGTTTTCAAAGAACTTCAATCAGATTTTCAAAACAGATTTTGCAGCAATCAATGAGGCTCGTCTAACGTGCAATCCTAGATCAAAATTCGAAGAAATGCAGAGCATTCAACAAGGAAGACGAACGGTCACTCGAATCCACAAGAACAGATCAATTTGCAGGAGATTCAATCAGCACGCGGGATACACACAACACGCTCAGTTGAACCGAAAACAGAGCACTATCAATCAGATGGTGATAAAATATAGCAGCGATGAATACAACACCAACAACGCACAACAGCAACACTCAACAGCAGCAACTTAGTTTATTATTATTTTCGAATTATATATATTTTTTTATTATAAAAAAACAGGATTTGACCAAAATTAATGTGCAAATTGAACAGATTTAGTCAATGCGTTTGTTGCCTAACACGATCAGCTATGTCCTCAAACCAGTTTAGATTTCGGAATGGAAACAGAGGTGTATATAATTACGGGACACGTAGCATATTACTAAGCACAACAAAACAAATTAAGGGGACTACTCGAACCGAATTACAAACAGATTTAAAACGGAAGACGATAATCGGTTTCGATGGATGCTCAGCCCTAGATGGAAGCAAGGACACTCACGGAAAATGATATAACACAGCAGAGGCAACACACAACAAAGCAGAATCAGAAAAACTGAAGTAGGAAGGATCTCACCCGAGAGAACTCCGAGGATGAGCGGCGTGCTATTTCTCTCGTTTCTCGATTGATTTGTGCGCCTTGATGGAGATGCAAAGTCTACGAAATGGATGGTGGAATTGATCAGCTCTTTTCAAGGAACGAAACTGGGCAGATTATATTTTGTTTTCAAAATTTCAAATTGAAACAAAAAGAACAAACGGAAATAAACGAAAACGTAAACGAGGATAGATCTCACCCGGGGCACGTCCTCTTGGATCGAGCAAGGCTCTGATACCAAAAATGATACACGCACGGAAGAGGATGGATAGGGGAGTTCAACTGCAATCACCGGGTCACGGAAGTGGCTCTCGAATTCACGGAGGAACAAGGGATAGCCGAAGTGGATTGATGGCGAATCGATTCCAATCACCGGCTCACGAGTGTGGCGCTCGAATTCAGAAATGTTTCAAAAGGGATGAGGTGGTAATCGAAGGATATGGGCGCGTCGGACACACCGGACGCAATCTTCTCGGACACACCGAAGGAGTCTCTCGGACACACCGAAGAGAAGAGGCCTCAGACACACCAAGACACAAAGATAATCTCAACACTTTGAGTGGAGAAAGAGAACAAAGGTTCTACAATTTTTGATTGATGAAAAGCTGATCACAAAATGAAAAGAAAGGAGTTTAAATAACAACAATTGTCAACAAAGACATAAATGCTAAACAACATGCAGCCCACGTGCATTAATGGTGAGTAGGTGGTAGAAAAGAGTTGTTGGGAAAGCTCCTTTCTTTGGGCTGCTGATGGGTTGGACCGTGGGCCTTCTTCTTGGGCCGAAAATTGATTAAGGTCGTGTCCTAGGCCTTAGACAATTTGGACTTAATGCTGAAATTGTTCCGAATCACTTCTCGTCCGAATAATGATGCATCCTTGTTGTCGTGAACCCTGAATCCGTGAAGAACTTTGAGTGACAACCTTGGTTAGCGTGACACGAAGGGCTCGAGCTCTAGCACGAGTGAGGGGAGGCTCGACTCTATGGCTTGCTCGTTGAGCCGTCGCGTGGTGCACGTCACTTCCCGTTCTTGCGGCTTCGAATGATCGTGTAACGTGTTGATCATTCGGAACTTCTCCCGGCACCTGAGAGGCCGAGTCTTCATCATCCCGGAGAGCTCCTTCCGTTAAGCTCCCATCCTCATCCGCCTCCAAGCTGTTGGCTGCTCCGATGTCCTCATCACCAAGGGACATCGGAACTAACCTCTAATGCTAAAATTTGTTCTTCTCGCAGCGAATCATTGATAGGCATCTCATTGGGTATTTCTAGTCTTGACAAATGATCGGCCACTGTATTCTCCGTCCCCTTGCGATCTCGAATTTCCAAATCAAACTCTTGTAGAAGCAATATCCATCTAATCAACCGTGGTTTGGCATCTTTCTTTGTGAGTAGATATCGCAAGGCTGCGTGATCTGTATAAACAATGACCTTAGAACCTACCAAGTATGATCTAAATTTCTCGAAGGCGAACACTACAGCAAGGAGCTCTTTCTCCGTGGTGGAGTAGTTCATTTGGGCATCATCGAGCGTTCGACTTGCGTAGTATACGGCGTAATGCTTCCCATCTTTCTTTTGTCCCAATAAGGCCCCGACCGCGAAGTCGCTAGCATCGCACATTAACTCAAAAGGAACACTCCAATCCGGGGGTTGAATGATCGGAGGTGATACTAGTGCCTTCTTTAATATACCAAATGCCTTGTGGCACTCCCCATTAAACTCAAATGGGACGTCCTTGCACAAAAGCGCAGTCAAGGGTCTCGCTATCTTCGAAAAATCTTTGATGAATCTCCTGTAAAATCCGGCGTGACCCAAGAAACTTCGGATTCCTTTAACGTTAGTCGGTGGTGGTAGCTTCTCAATCACTTCCACTTTCGCTCTATCCACTTCTATCCCCTTATCCGAAATCCTATGACCAAGCACGATGCCCTTTTGCACCATAAAGTGGCATTTTTCCCAATTTAAAACCAAGTTCGCCTTGCTGCACCTGTCTAACACTCGATGAAGATTGGTTAGACACACATCAAAGGAGGGTCCATGAACCGAAAAATCGTCCATGAACACCTCCATGATATCTTCAATCACATCAGAAAAAATAGCCATCATACATCGTTGAAACGTGGCCGGTGCATTGCATGATCCGAATGGCATGCGTCTATATGCAAATGTACCATAGGGGCAC